GAGCTCCTACCCTACTGATTCTTTCTGTAGCAACATTTTGTTTTGTATCCATCTAAAAGAACTAAATTTTATTTTATAAATTAAAATAATAATTATGATGCAAAGAAGTTTTTTGAAATATCTCTATTTTAGAAACCTTAGTGGCCATGTTCTTTGAAATCAAACTTATGTCTATACTTGAAAAGGATCCATGACTTTCAGAAAAATAGGTGTGCTTTCTCAAATTGCCATTTTTCTGTGTCCATATATCAACCAGCCCTAAATTGTCCTTCATATCTAAGAAAACTTTTGGTAATTTGTCTTTAGTTATTTTAATATCAGAAGCTCTAGCCCACTGTGTGGAGATCACTCTGTTTTATTTAGAGATCACTCTAAAGAGCTTGGAGGTGCAGTGGTTAAAATGCAGTATTGCAGGCTAATACTGCCAACTGTCAGCAGCTTCATTGTCACTGGCTCAAGGTTGACTCAGCCTTCCATCAAGGTGGGTAAAATGAGGACCCAGATTGTTGGGAGCAATATGCTGACTCTGAAAAACCACTAGAGGGGGCTGTAAAGCACTGTGAGGCAGTATATAAGTCTAAATGCTATTGATATTGATATTGCTCTTCCAATTCCTATCAGACACTAATTTTCATAAGAGAAACATATTAATATCTCCAAAAGTCCTTTACGGAACATTACTTTATCCTCATTTAGGGCATAAATGCCCAATAATCTTACTCTCATGCGAATAAACTTCCTCCCCAACAGTTCCAAACATCCCCTGGAACATTTCCTATCCTCACAAACCTTACATTTATTATATAGATTTTAGCAACTTTTTTCTATAGCCTTCTTTTTCAAGTCCAATTTTTTTTTCAAAAGCTTTAGTAAACTTTTTTCCAATGTATTTATCAGAATCCCCTAGAATTGCTCTAAATCTTAAACAACGTTCCTTCTGTCTCAATTCCAATAGAGTCAAATTATTTAGTTGTCTTCACAACTCTCTGTCTCTAACTTCTTACTCAAACCCAAAATTTAAACCAATTTGTTTTACATCTCCAGAAAGTCATTTAACAGACCCTTTCATCTTCTTAAATTCTCATTTCATCTCCTCTTTCATCCTTCATCCATTCTCTTTCAAAAGCTGTCAGCTTATTATCAAATAATTCAGCTAATTTACTGTTCAGTTGCTCAAATATTTTCTGAATCAAATGTGGTGTAATTCCTCTCGCTGCAGGTTGCTCTATATATCCCTACCCCCTACTAATTTTATGGCTTTCCTGGTGGTTGCCATTATAATATTATTACCTCAAAATGAATGTTTCTCAAACAAGCTTCCTTTCTCCCCCGCCCCATTTTGTCTTCCAATGCCCTTAATTCTTTTATATCAAATAGCATTCTGTAGTTACAGTCAGGCTCACAGTCAGCATCTCTAAATTTACAGCCAGCATCCCACTCTGGTTGATAATACCTTTATCTTTTTGTTTTGTAACATCCATCAGTTGTCTGCATTCCTTAATGGTAAAGAAAAATAATCCACAAAGTCCAGTTTATTTCTCTGTTTTAATTCCAATCTGTTCAAAAGAACTTTCACCCAAAAGTAGTCTTTAAAAATAACTGTATTCTGTATCCATTTTGAAGCTTTTTTATACCTTCTTCTAGTGAAGGTTTTTTTGGCTAAATATTTTTAAATCTTTAAATACTTTTTCCCTTTGTAAACCTGAAAGAACATTGATTCACCAAGTGAAATTTTCTTATCCTGCTACTCTCTCTTTAGCTGTAAATTAGTTAAAACTGCTTAAGAAATGGGCTCATCAATGTACTATGACAGCTGGAATTGCTGGTATGAATGAATAGAACAAATATTGATTAAAGGGAAAAAGAAGATACATTATAATGGATATATATATATATATATATATATATATATATATATAT